GTGAGCCGGGGCGCGGCGGGAAGGCGCCCGGCCAGCCGCCCCCTCCCTTTGCGGGGCGAGCCGGGGGGAGCCGCGGGCGCGCCCGCCCCGCCCCGCCCCGGGCGGCTCCCGGGCCGCCTTGTCAATCAGCGCCGCCCGGGAGCTGCCGCGTGCGCCCGCCGGCCGCAGGTTGCGAGGCGTTCATTGCGCGCTCGGCCATGCAGCTTTGCGCCCGGGCGGCCCCGCGTGCCGCCGCCGTCGGGACCTCGCCGCCGCCTCCTTGCCGCCGCCGCCCGCGGAGCCCGAGCGCGCACCATGGCTGCGCCCGGCGCCGCCTCCTCCCGCCGGCTCCTGGCGCCGCCGCCGCTCCTCTTGCTGCTCGCCTGCGCCCTGCACGCTAAGGTAACGGGGGGCGGGGTAGGCACGGCCCGGCCCGCGCCGCCACTCGGGCGCCTGCCCGCCGCTCGCCGGACTCCCGCGCGTGGCCGGCCCGGGCCGCCGAGGCGCTGCGCCCGTGGCCCTCCCCTCCCTCGCCAGGCGCGGCCTGCGCGCCCCTTGGTCGCCGGCTCGGTCCCCGGGAGAAGGGGAAGGGCGCGACGCCGGAGAGGCTCAGCCGCCCCCCGGTTAAGCGCCCCAGGTGGGAGGGGGTCAGTCGAGCAGCATGCTTTTCCCGCTCTCGCCCCGCTGGTGGGCTTGCTCCTCCGGAGGCCCCCTTCTCTGCTCGCGTGCCCGCCCGCCCCGCGGCGCTTCCCGGGGTGGCGTTGCTCCGCGCACCGGCCTGTCAGTGCCCTTCGTGCAGCCGAGCGGGCTTCTCTTGCGTTAGTGCCGCACTTGGACTGCGGACGTGCGTCAGGCAAGCCCGGGTCTGGGGAATCCCGTGTGAAAAGGCAGCATCCAAAGGAAGCAGCAAAGGTGAGATAGTGCCCCACGCTATTCTGGTAACCGAATTAGCAAAAAGTGGGCTAGTTAGAAAAGCTGTCTGGTGGAGCCAAAATTGGCTGCTGAATCGGCCCAAAGAGTGCTCATCACGTGGGCCTTCTCAAACTGGGGGGAGGTAACTAGTGGGGTGCAGCAAAGTTCAGTCCTCAGCCCAGTGCTCTCCAACTTCTTTATTAATGACTTCGATGAGGAAGTACAAGGAAAGAGAGTAAAGTTGCAGATGATACAGAACTGGGTGGAACAGCAAACAGCCCAGAAGACAGAATGAAGAGGGTGATCATGATAAACTTGAACCCTGGGCTGAAAGCAACAGAAGGAGATTCAGAAGGGACAAGTGCCAAGTCCTCCACCTGGGAAGGAGAACACAAATGCATCGCTACAAGCTGCACACCTGGCTCAACAGAACTCGAAATGAAAATACCTTGGGGTTATTGTGGACAACAGAGTAAATATGAGCCAACAGGGTGCTGTAGCTGCAAAAAGGGCACATGCTATTTATTTATTTAGGAAGCTTCTATGCCGCCCCATTCGCCAAAGCCTCGGGGCGGCTCACAACAATAAATGACATAATAACAATATAAAACAATATAATATAATTGGAGACGTCCTGGCCAAAGATGTAAACTCAATAAATAATATTAACAATTAAAATGACGTTTAAATAAAAAAGTCTTGGCCTGGTGCCGAAAAACAAATAATGACGGCGCCAGACGGACCTCTCTGGGGAGCACATTCCATAGATTGGGCGCCACCGCAGAGAAGGCTCTCCTCCGGGTACTCGCCCTCCTAATGTCCTTCACGGAGGGCTCCCGGAGAAGGGCCTCTCCCGCTGATCTCAAGGGGCAGGAGGGCAAATATGGACGCAGACGCTCCTTTAGGTAACCGGGACCCAAGCCGTTAAGGGCTTTATAGGTCATAACCAACACCTTGAATTGGGCCCGGACTTCAATGGGAAGCCAGTGAAGCTGACGGAGAACTGGAGTCATGTGAACATAATGCCCAGTCCCCGTCAGCAGCCTGGCAGCTCTATTCTGCACCAGTTGGAAGTATCCGGACCGTCTTCAAGGGCAGCCCCACATAGAGCGCGTTACAGAAGTCAAGTCAGGAAGTTACTAATGCGTGTGTCACTGTTGCCAGGCAGTGGGATGCATCAGCAGAAGTATCACTTCCAAATCACGAGAAGTCGTAGTTCCTCTATACTCCTCACTAGCCAGACCTCACCTGGAACACTGTGCCCAGTTCTGGGCACCAAGATTTAAGAAAGATGCAGAAAAATCAGGGTGGAAAGGAGGGTAGCAAAAATGATCCAGGGACTGGCGACACAGAGATGGAGAGAACTGGGCATGTTCAGCCTTGAGAAGACTGAGGGGGACATGGTATCCCTCTGTAACTACCTCAAAGGTTGTCTCAAAGAGGGAGGGCAAGATTTCTTCCTGCTGATGCCAGAGTGCAGGACACGGAATAATCTATTCAAGCTGCAACAACCCAGATTCAGGCTGGGCATCAGGAAAGGCTTCCTCACTGTCAGAGCAATACGGCAGTGGGACCAGCTGCCCGGAGAGGTGGGGGGCTCTCCCACTCTGGAGACATTCAAGGGGAAACTGGGCAGCCACCTGAGTGGGACGGTGTGACGTGGTGTCCTGCAACAGGAAGGAGTTGGACCCAATGGCCTTCATGGCTCCTTCCAACTCTACTGTTCGATGATTTGAAAAATTTGGATGGATTGCATCTGGACAAGCTAATATCCTGACCCTAAATGAGTTAAGTGGCAGTTGGGCAATGCTTGTCTGTGACACTGTTTGCATTCCCTCCGTGACTGACTGGCTCCCAGACGGCTGCGTCCCCGGCTCCCTTGCCGTGCTGCAGAGGATGCTTGTGTGCATATGAACTGAGAGAGATCCCCTGGGCGAGGGATCCCGGGACACTCTCAGGTTATGTGGCACAGCCAGCTGGGTGAGGGAAGCTATTACGGAAGGAAGAATAAGTCACACACAGGACCGAAGTGCGTTCACGGTCATCCCTCTTGCTGCCATAGAAACCTGCTTAGGATCAGGCATTGAAATGCAGCTCCATCCCTAGTGCCCATAAGGTGGCCACGCGTTTGGACCCACCTTCCAAAACCTTCAGAGGAAACTGGCTATCTTTAGCCAGCTTTCCTGCCCAGATGTCCCCCAGATGTATGTGCTGGACTGCAACTCCCATCATCCCCGTGCAGCACTGTATGCTGACTCGGATGATGGGGATTGCAGTCCAACTCATCCAGAGGACAACTGCTTTTATAAGGCCGTTCAGACGTCTTGCTCTGTGTTTTGCTTGGAAAGCGGCTGCAAGCTGGCTTCCCTGGGAAGCATTCTTCCTCACTGGCGTTCTCGGGGCCTTCCTGTCCCCGGGGTGTTGGGAAAGCGAATCCGCGGCCCAGCCACTCCCCCTCCATTTCCTCACTGAGTTTGCCAGTAGGTGCAGCTGGTGGGTGAGGATGGCCCGTTCACTTGTTGTTTTGTGTGGCACACCTTCTGACCTCGCAGAGAAGCGCTAATTAGAGTTCTGTGCTCTTTAATTACACTTGTCTCTCCACAGCTGTAAAAACTCCCTGTCAAAAGCAGCTCATTATTATAGAACCCCCGTTCAGAGGCCGGGCCATCCGGCGCAGCCTCTGTCGCTGGAAACGGAGGAGGCGAGACCCTGCTCACTTCACTCGGCTTGCCTGCGCCTCCCGGATTTCATGGGTCATTGGGCCCATTGTGGCCTGCCTCTCCAAGGAAGCCCTCCGCCACTCCCCCCCTGAGAATAGCTGGAGGACACAGTCTCCGCACTGCCGGAGTGGGGAGGATCCTTGCCCCCTCCCAAGAGAGGCCCGGGTTTCGGCGTCCTTTCTGCGCCTGTGTCCCAGGTTCCTGGTGGCTGGAGCATTATTTTTCTGCATTAAAACTGGGCACATGTTTACTGCTTACACCGCAGAAAAATTTGCTTTGCGTTGGCTCTTGCCTTCCCACCAAGACCACGCTGAGATGTGGCAGAGCTGCATCTGTGGGGTGGGGAAACAGCCTGGAGCTGCTTCACACTGCATTTGGCAGCTGGAATAGACCACACTACATGTATAAAGAGGGACGCTACCCACCTTCGAAATACTCAGGGACTTGCTGGTTGTGGCTCCATGCTGCATGCCGCAACCAGTAAGGCATTTCCATGGGGTGGGGACAGGGTGTTTTGTACAGGGACTGAGCACTAGTAGACCCCAGTTTCCATGCATTCTTGGGCTGATCAAGAAAGAGGGCTTAAGTGAAGTCTGGACTGCCCACCCAGACCCCATCTGGGCTTCCTTTTTCCACTGAACCTGTGAAAAGCCCACACAAAGCACTCCCGGGACGCCGGACAACCACGTCTCGGGGTGGTTCCCTTTTCTGTAGCTTCCTGCAACGCAGTAAGGAGGCTTTTGCAGACCAGGTAAAATGGCCACGCAGTCACAGGTTGCCAGGGCTGGCTCAGGATGATGAGACCACAGAGTAGTCACTCCATCGGCCACTGGGACAGAACAAGCCCTGTGGGAGTTCCAGAAAAGGACAGAGTGGTTCTAGCATTGGACAAGTTCTCCGGGCTACCCAAGTTCTGAGGCATTTGAGGATGCGGCCTTCAAATCTAAATGCCCAAAATTCATGCAAACGGGAGGGTGTGACTTGGTGTCCTGCAACAGCAAGGGGTTGGACCCAAGGGCCTTCGTGGCCCCTTCCGACTCTGCTCTTCTATGATTCTGTAAAGTTCATGCTCTCAGCATGAATTACGGAATTAACTGACACCCACACACATCTAGACTAGACAAAAAGGGCCCTCCCACGGGTTTTTTTAGAGATCCCACAGATCTTGTCACATAAAATGGGATACAGCTGTACCATTTGGAGGATGTTGATCTATTTGTTTCACAACATTTATATACTGCTACACATCTAGGCAGATTCAGGAGCAATGAATAAACATTAAAAGGAATGAAACATCATCTCACCGGGGCCCAGTGTGATGTACTAGTTCAGAACTAGTACTGGGAATCAGGCGATCTGGGTTCTAGTCCCCACTCAACCATGGAGCTCACTGGGTGACATTGGACCAGTCACAGACACTCATCCCAGCCTACCTCACAGGGTTGTTGTTATGAGGATCAGTTTGAGAGGAGGAAGAGAATTATATAAAGCTACCTTGAGTTCTTTGTAAGGAAAAAGGTGCCATATAAAAAACAAGGACATAAGTACATAAATATCAAAAATTTTATCAGCAGAACACTAATAAAAACTGGTAAACTGAAGGCTTGTTGAGAAAAAGTAGGCACCGAAAATAATGCAGCATTGGTGCCTCTTGATCTCCAGAGTCGGGGAGTTCACAGAAAACGGGGCCACCCCAGTGAAGGCTCTGCTGCAGATGAATTCCAGCCAGGCCATAGGGCCCTTCGGAAGCACAAGGCACATCCCACTGGATAATCTTAGGGACTGGGCAACTTGAAGGTGCTCTCTCGAGTACTGCTCCCCTCCAGTTTAGGGCTTCAGTAGCAAAGCCATAAGCCTGCAGGCTGTCCCCTGGCTCGGCCTGGCGTTCTCACGCTAACCCTTCCCTGTTTCTGTCAGGGCAGCAGTGAAGCAGCTGAAGGCGGCGTCGGCTGGAGTGAAGAGGTCGCCGAGTGGTGGGGTGAATGGAACTCCTGGTCCACCTGCTCGCGCTCCTGCGGGGGCGGCGTGGCGGCCCGGGAGAGGCACTGCTTGCGGCAGCGGTAAGCCCCGTGGTGCAAAGCCCGGGAAACAGCCGCAGCGGCTGGCGGCCCCTGCACCCCCAAGGCAGCCGGGAAGACGGTGTTCAGGGCCGTCCTGGCTTGCCTCCTTGCTGTTCCTTGTTCTCTGCTCTCCTCCTGTCCGTGCCCCTGTGCTCTGTCCGGTCGTCGTCCTGAAAGTGTGGCGGCTTTCATCTAGACCCAGGTCCCCAGTCGAAGGGGCTTGGGGAGCGGGGCCCTTGCGCAGTGACAGTGGCTGGGTTTCTCCACGGGGCTTCCAGGGCTCTCCCCTCTGCCACCCGCCCACTCCCCACGCGCTTGGCCTGCAGGAGGCTGTTGTCCCCCCAAAGGGTTGAACGAGGCTCCCTGGAGTGGAACCTCTTGTAACCAGCTGCTCCAGATCCCGGGAGGCTGATGAGGGCTGGCACCCAAAAGGGCGCCCAGCTTGCCGCCTCTGCCTCTCCCACACCTTTCACTTGGCATGAACGCACTTCCAAGCAGAGGGTGCCCGAGCCAGGCCCCGGCCTTTCCTCTGTCCTTCCAGCAGGATGGGGGTGGAGTGCCCCCTTTGCGTGGGCATCACTGCTGCCCGGATGTGCCGTGGTGCCTTCCGCCTGGGCAGCAGTGCCGTTTCCCCTGAGCTCAATGACTTGGAAATTCCAGCCACTCTGTCTTCAAAAAAAGAGTTTGTGTGTGCATCTCTCTCTCTCTCTTTCTCTCTCTGCCTTCGAAATGCCTTCTGCATTTTATACTTTCTGGGTGGGAGGCGGTCTGAGATAAAGAGACTTTAGGATTCCTTAGAGCTGGCGATGACAAACAGCACAGATGCTCCCATGCCGAATCTCATTCCTCGATTCAAGCCCTGGCACCTTATCTGCATTTTCCAGTGTCTCCATCGCAAAGCTGTCTCCCTTGTAAGCCTATTGCAGCCTCTTCTGCCCCCTCCGTGGTAGCCAAATGCTCCTTTTGAGAAATAGTTCCTTGTTTTTGCCGTCTGATGCACCTGCCTCCTCTTCTTCACACCTGCTGCTTTCCACTTTCCTTGCCTGTTGAAGGAAAAGCCATTCATTTCTCATTCCCATCTTTGCTGGCATATTCAGCCCCTGGAGGGACCGGCCGAGCGGTCTTGTTAATGCGACAGTTGCACAAACTGCTTCAGCTAAAACAGTTCTCTCCCTAGATCTTTGCAGGAAGTGTTGGAGACAAAGCTTTGAGGGCATTTTGAGGGCATCCTGTGGGCTGAGAAAGGATCCAGCTACCCATGATGAGAAGGGACATGAGCCAAGTTTAGCTGCCGGCAATATTTCTGCGGCCAACCGGGGGGCATAACTTACGTCATAGTAATCAATATTCATTTCATGGCATGAGGAGGAAAGCGTTCGGTCGAGATGCTCAAAAGGAGATCCAGAGCTTACTTGAGTCGCAAAGCCCAAGCTGCACTGTGTCTCCGTCCCTTTGGAATCCGCGGGGCCCATTTCCAGGCTGGGATCGCCTTGGCAGTCTCTGGACAGAGCCAGGCTGGTGCTGAGGCCTGTCTGCTTTGGGAGGCTTGCGCGAAGCAGAATCCCCCTGCCCGGGCACTGCCTTGTGTCGCCTCAGGCAGAAGACGCAGAACTCCACACATGTTCAGAGACGCCTCAGGCGTGCTCCAGCATCGAAAGGGGGGTTCGGGGCGGCAGTCTCGTGAGTTCTGGATCGGATCTGAGTTAATCCTGCCCTCGCTTCACAGCCACCTCCCTTTCGCACACACCAGGTCCCCCCCCCCCGCTGTGCTTTCATCGCCAGTGTGAGAGCCCCTCCAAACTGGGATGCAGAGCTGTGGGGGTGGCAGCGGGGGATGCGCGTGGACGGGGAGCGTCTGCGGAGGCTGAGGCAGGAGCCGGCCTGGAGCCGGGTTGTCCTGCCACCTACAGAAAGCCCCCTTTCCCTTCACAGGCTCCCCGTATCGCAGGGAAGCAACAGCAGCGTCTGCCTGGGCCAGTCCAAGCACTACCAGCTGTGCCAGCAGCAGGTAAGAGCGACTCGCCCTCTCACTTTGGGCGCGCCTGCTTGCTGGGTTCGTGCCCTGCCCTTTCCCCTCGGGCAAGGAGGCCAGGCCAGTGTGTGTGGCCCTTCTCTGCTCTGTTTGCTCCTCCCGAGGCCGAGCATGAGCCTCTGGGCCAAGGAGCTTTGTGGCTGAGTGGGGGACTGGAACCCAGAATCCCAGTCCGGTGCTCTAACCACTGTGCCACATGGTCTCTCCATTATAGACTGCCTGGCTCTTTCTGTGTGCTGCCATGAGCATGAAACACAACAAGTGTGGCATCAATAGCTGTGCAACTTGGCGGCCAGTAGTGGGGGTTGCCAGGCCACACCTCTGCGATGTGGCTTGTTCTTCAGATTCGCAGCGATTCTCTCGGCGCTTTGGAGAGGAAGGAACAGCAAGATAGTGGGGTGGCTGCATGTTCGGAACAGCCAGTTTCTCAGTTCCCCCCTGTTTCTTTAGTGAGCACAAAGGAACGTGCGGCCATCCAGTCTTTCTTAAAACTTCTTGCTCTTTCCCAACGGGTCTCAATTTGCTGAGGCCTCCCCTACCATCAAGGAGCCACAACCTGTCCACTGAGCATGTACCGAGATCCCTCTGTGTGGAAGCCAGAGCCGTGCGCAAGGACAGCAGGGCTCGCATTCCTGCTCCCAGGCCAGCCCTCCTGGGGGCTCTCCCCACAGGCTTGCTCTTTCAAACAACATCCGGATGGGCAAGAGACGGGCTCTGTCCAACCCGCCCCCTGCGTGTCTTCCAGCCATTGGAAGAACTATGGGGCGAGAACAGCATGCTCTCCTTACTCAGACAAGATGGCCTGCCCCATTTCCAGGTGGGGCGTTTCTGCAGAGGCTCCTTCCCTGCCATGAGGCCCAGAAATGGCTGGAAGTGGGGCAGACCCCCGCAGGCAGGGTCGCTTTGTCTCTGCTTCCAGAGGGGAGCCCCGTCCTCCTCCAGCCACGCATTCAAACTTGCCTGTAACCTGCTGCATGAGAACAGAGGGCCAGGAATCACCGTTCCTCGGCACCAGTTTGCAAACTGAGCCACAAACCCTGCTTCCTGTCTCCGCATCGGGCACAGCCAAGAGCAAAAGCAGTAGCTTAACCTTCACTGCAGTGTCCCTGCAGGAATAGAATACTTCACCAAGGTGACCGGACACGCTCCACGCCCAAGAAGGAGATTGCGCCTGGTCTGACCAATAAAAGTCCAGCCCTTCAGCCCAGCGTTCTTGACCTGGTGCCTGCCAGATCGGTTGGACTGCCACCCCCATCATCCCCTGGAATGATGGGATTGCTGTTCCACACACCTGGAGCGCTGCTCTGAGCAGTCTGATTTGTGCCGAGCGGGGTGAGAGGCAGCAACCCGGAACCTGAGCTGAGCGTTTGGGTTGCAACGGGATGCCCGGGTGATGCGTGTTTTTAAGAACGCCATCTTGCTCCATCTTTCCGTCTTACTCTGCTGTGTGGTGTGTTGATCTTGCTTTTACCATGAGTGTTGTCACGGGGGAAGGCCCTCATGCTAGGAAAGGTGGGAGGCAGAGGAAGAAGGGGAAACCCAACTAGGAGACGGACCGATTCCATGAGGGAAACCCCAGCGCTGAGTCCACAGGAGCTGGGAGAGGCTTCATTTGTAGGGCTGCCCCAGGTCAGAGGCGCTTGAAGGCTTGTAAGAACAGCAGCAAGCGGCTGAGGCCTCTTGCCCTTTCTGTCCTCCATCCATCCATCCATCCATCCATCCATCCATCCATCCATCCATCCATCCTGTCTGCTGCAGAGAACTATTAAAGTCCCGGCTGATGCACGGGGAAGGACCAAGGAAGGGAAAGGCAGGAAAGCTGCACAGATCTCTCACAATGCCTTTAGTATCAAAGGTAAACTTCCTTTGGGGTCACAGAGCCCTTTTGGGATGGCTGAGTCCAAGCACATTGTTAGACTTAGAAATGGGTTCGGTCCATAAATTCAAAGCTTCAGGACAATGGATGGCCAACAGGACGAGTTGTCATTTATACCGTTAGCTACGACCTGGATGGCGTTTAAGCCACAAAGAGCAAATAGGCAAGTTTAGACGGGGGTATGTGCAGGACTGCAGAAACCCTGGACTTTGTGCGGGGGGGGGGCAGATTTGTGCTTCTGCCGGTCCCCAGACAGCCACACCCTCTTTCCCCTGATCACTTAGTGACTTCACAACTTTTGCGTGGCCCTCTCTTTGTTGCACACGGTTGCCCTGCCTTTCCTAAGATTTAGTTCCTGGCAGTGGAAGCTTGGGGAACTAAAATAGGCTGCTCCAATCTAGACTTCTGTCCCGCTCGTGTCCGCCAGTTGCACTACAAGTAAATCTCTCTTGAGTGCGAAGGGGAGTTTTTCTTTCCATGCAGAAGGCAGGGGCTGTTCCGGATTGGGACCACAGTGTGTGGCAGAGAGTTAACACACATACACTGCAGCCTCCCAATCCCAATCATTTATCAAATAAACGAGTACATATATTCACATCAATCCTTCCACCTCCTGAGGTCTGCTTTTTACCTTTCAAAAGTTATTTGCGCAATTACTAACGCGATTGAGTTTGTTGCTGACCCTTGGCGTTTTATCGACAATATTAGCCTCCTCACACATGCAAGCTCTTTCCCAGACGCCGTGCAAACAGCCCCTTGTGCCTTGTGGGAGGGGGGCAGTGGACAGGCGCTAAGCTTTGGTTTTGTCTTCCTTGCAGCCTTGCCCGGCCGACACAGCCAGCTTCAAGGAGCACCAGTGTGCCAACTTCAACGCCAAGGCCTTCGGGAAGCGCTATTTCCACTGGGTGCCTCTCTATCCAGGTGTGCCTCTGCTAAGTTACTTGCTCGGAGTGGTGGAAGGTCAAGGGGCCAGGAGGCAAAGGTGCTTGCGAGGCGTGGCTGGCACTGTGCTCCTTGAGGGCAGGCACCTTGGTTGGTTGGAACAGCACCAAAGCGGTGTCCTTTGCCACCTTACATCCCAGCATGCCTTGCACATGAGAGTACATGAACTGAAACCCCATTGGATGGATGCTTCAGTTAACGCAGTGGTTACGTGAGCATGTGCGCACACGCATGCGGATACTGAGAAAGGAGTGTATGCCGTGGAGCCCAAAAGTGAGGGGATGCTAGAAGGATTCCCCAGTTCCCAAATGGGCTATTCAGAACATGAATATGAATGGGCTGTGCAGAGAAGGGCCTTCTCTACGGTGGCACCCCAATTGTGGAATTCGCTCCCCAGAGAGGTTTGCCTGGCGCCATCACTTTATTCTTTTTGGCACCAGGCCAAACTCTTTCTATTTTCCCAATGTTTTAAGACATGGCTGTTTTAATCGGGGTTTTATTATTAGCTGAATTTTTAGGATGCTGTGTTTTACATTTTTTACATTTTGTATTGTGAAACCATCCCGAGACTTCAGTAATGGGACGGTCTACGAAAGTTTTAAATAAATAAACAGTGGGAAAGGATTATATATCTAGGAAGACCAATGTGATCTAAGTAACCACTCCGGTGGATGAAGCTGGCTGTGATCCGTGAGAACATGCCAGGGTGGAGGTGTTCACCTTGAACGGAGCCGTGTCACCTGGTGCAGTACCTGGGGTGCCCTGGGATGGAGGAAAGACTCACAGGTACGTCAGGTTCAGACCATGGTGTCAAGACAGCCAAGGCTGGAACCGGGAAGGCTTTTTTATTGTTCTTATTTAAAATACGCCCATGCCTGCTTTTATGGCAGAAGCAACGTGTCTTCCGGTCCTTTGCAGTGCAACTCTTTGCTTGTCTACCGAGAAGTAGGTCTGCTGGATTCAGTGAGAATCACGTGCAGGGATGGCAGACGTCTGGTCGGCGGACTGGATCTGTCCCGCTGGTACCCTCTTCTGGCCTGCCAGCATCCTCGCCCCTCCCCTGCTCTCTGTGAACAGAGAAAGGGGCCGTGATGGTGTCAGAGGGCAGATCCCAGAAAAGGGGGCTGCCCGGGGAGCATCCGAGCCCCTTGGGCGGGAGCAGTTCCCCGGGAATATCCGACGGCACCTGGTTAACGGCAGGCCGCGCTTGCACCCGGCCCGCAGACCTCTGCGGCCTCTCGCCTCCCTCGGGGGCGCTCCCTGCCCAGGCTCACCTGCCCCCTTTCGCCCTGGGCCCGGCCCTAGATGACGACACCAGCATCTCAAACAAGCCCTGTGACCTGCAGTGCACCACCAGGAGCGGGGAGAGGCAGCTGATGGCGCGAGCCCAAGATGGCACCTCGTGCCGGGACCGGACGTACCGTGGGGTCTGCATCGGCGGCAAGTGCGAGGTATAAACTGGGGGGGGGGGGGCGCTGCTGACTGGGCTCACTCACCGGGGCTTAGTGCCTGGTGCAGGGAGGGTGCCGCACAGAAGTGGGGACTGCAGGCTCCTTGGGTCAGGAACGAGCCTGGCGGGGCCGGGAACACAGTGCAGGAAGAGCCTGCTTGGACCCGGGCCAAAGGTCCTGGTGGTTTAGCATCCTCTTCCCCGGAGCGACCCAGCAGCTGCCTCTGGGAAGCCACGAGGGAGACATGGGCGGGGTGCTCCTCGCCGCTTGGCCCTCAGCCCAGCCCCTGAGCAGCCGCTTGCAGGAAGAAGAGCCCTCGCCAGCCCTCGTCTCCGTGGGTACGGCCAGGGCTGTGTTCCTGGCCATCTGAGGTGGCCGTTAGCACCCCCGCGTGGCCCGTGCCTCTTTTGGCCTGCTGCTCGTCGACTCCTTTGTTGACTCCCCTGCCCCAAAGCCTAGGATTAGCAAAGAGAGTTCACTTCTCCAAGTTGTGCATAATTTTGCTGATAGCTTTTTAAAGTTTCTAAACGAAAAGGAAGGATTAAATTGCAAAGGTTTGGTGGGGGGGGGGCAAACTGAAGATAAGGGAGAGACGAGATTTTGGTGGGTGGGGAGAGGAGAATGTGGGCATAATGTTTTTCTAGAAGTGGAGTGGAAGCTGAGTGGCTTTCAGACAGAGTTCCAGAGGGGAGGTGGGGAGCGGAAGGGTGACGGAGGCTGCGCAGCGGCTTGAGCTCAGCTGGGAGAGGAAGCCAAGGAGCTGTGCCAACCCCTGTGCAGAAGGGGGTGACGTTTCACTGGGGTAGGACTCAGTTATGCCTCAGGGGTCAGAAACCGCCTCCAGCCCACAGGCCAAATGCCGCTTTGGGGACGCTCCTGGGCACTGCATTGCCGTGCTGGGGGAGCCAAAGGCCGGCCAGCCCAGGGTCAAAGTGCCAACTAAATCTCTTGCTGCCTGTGACTATTTCAGCCTTCCAGAATGGGGGAAATTTTGCAAAACTTGGGAAGCCACCAGACTTTGGCAGGGAGGGAAAGTAGGAACCCCCAAAGTCTAGAGTTGGTCCCCAGCCTTGAATTTCTAGACCCCAGCTCTATTGGTTGGGTTTGTAGCAAATGCTCCCGATGCCAAGACTGCCTCTGTTTGCTTTCCTCCTAGCCAATAGGCTGTGATGGCAGCCTCTATTCTTCCCAGGTGATGGATCGGTGCCGCGTGTGTGGAGGAGACGGAAGCACTTGCTACCGCGTCTCGGGCAGTTTCCGAAAAGGGATCTCACAGTTAGGTACACTCTGCTAACAGCACCGAGCTTTTGCCACGCAAGCGAAAGCCATGCGAGCGAGATTTCCTGCGACTCTCCCTTTTTCGAGGGAGCGGATTTGTGCTGGCGGCGCCCCACGCGTTCAGGCAGAGGTGTTGGTTCATACCGTATTTCTCTGAGTGCTGAAGAGGGCCGTGTGATTCCCCCGCGAGAGGGCGGCCCCAGGGACTCAGACTCCAGCTTCCGTGAAGCCTCAGCCACGCGGGAATTCGCTCACTCCGATATGGACCAACCATATCTCTGTGTGTGCCCTTTCTGGCTGAATGCATCTCAAAATCGATAGTTGCAAAACCAGCCCTTGTTCTTTGAAGACCTGCGGCTTGCTAAAGCAAAGAACATTTTGCACAGTATATTTTCCAGGTAGATACCCCAAATGTTCTATGGCCCATTGAAACATGCATGCTACGAACACGCTACATTAGGGTAACAGGAGTCATGAATTGATTGCAGCTCGCTCCGGAGTGTATTTCGTGTGCTGAGGCAATCCTGCCTATCTGAAATACCAGAAAGGGTGGCTGTGTCTGTGGAAGACTAAGAAACGGCTTCGTACAGCGTGGCCAGAGTCCTTGCTTCTGACTCAGTTTTTCTGATTTTAATGTGCCTCCCGTTTCTCAGGGTATGTGTTCATCGCCAACATCCCTGCTGGTGCCATGGACATCCTCATTATTGAGCGAAGGAAAACAGAGAACATCCTGGGTAAGCCACGGAAAATGGCGCTCCCCTCGGGCAGCTGGTTCCCCCAGTGCCAAAAAGGGAGGGCGCCTTCCTGCGTGTGCCCCTCCCCTTAAAGTGCCTTGCAAGCCAACGTTGTTGTTTAACCATTGTTGGTCTATTATGGTGGCTGAATCCAGTTGTGGCATTTCACAATGGTGAGTGTGGCCTTAAGAAACCATGAAAAGAAACAACAGCTTGTTCTATGGTTTCTCTGTTACCACCATGGTTTGTCATGTTGTCTGAACCGATGTTCACAATTTCCATGGTAGGCAGCTATCACGGAGTCCCCTGGAAAGAGTGGCAACTGCTGGAGCCACTCTAGCCATCTAGCCGCTAAGTGTTGACCAGTGAGGAAGAGGCAAGAGGCAGGGAGCAATGTACTTGCGGTTGAATTTCAGATGCAGTGGCTGATGGGATGCATGTTAACAGTGGGAAGACTTAATGGGGAGGATGGAAACCATGATAATGTAGAAAGCACTTGTTGGTCTGTCAGGTGAATCATGGTTAAAAAAAAACAAAAAACACCCCCCATGGATCATGGTAACAACTCATCAAATCATAGAAGAGTAGAGTTGGAAGGGGCCAACCCCCCGCTCAGTGCAGGACACCAAGTCACACCCTCCAACTCAGAGGACTTTCCAGACACTTTCCGAATGTCTCCAGTGCAGGAGAGCCCACAGCTTCCTCAGGGAATAGGTTCCTTTGTTGCCCTGCTCTGGCAATGAGGAAGTTCTTCCTAGTGTCCAGTCTAAATTTGGTTTCTTTTAACTTAAGTCCTTTATTCCTTGTCTTGTACTCTGGAATGGGCAAGAAGAGATCTTGACCTTCCTCTTTGTGTCAGCCTTCCAGGTTCTTGTGGAGTGTGATCATATCACCCCTCGGCCTTCTCTTCCCAACAGTGCCCAGTCCTCTCCATCTTCCCTTACAGGGCTTTGCCTCCAGTCCCTGAGTCATCCTCGTTGCCCAGCTTGGCAGTCTTTCTAGCTTTCCAACTTTTCAGGGTTTCTTGTCATGTTGTGTGAACATCACCACTGAGCAGGGAAGAAAGGGGCTTAAACAGTCTTTAGCTTGTGTCTTTGCCCACGCGGGAGAAGGCACCTCGTACACATGTTCACAGCAGACAATTCTTGAGCTAAGGGGCTACTGTGGGAGCTGATGGAAGAGTCCTTCACCCAGACTGTGCCCCTGGGCATCTCGTTGTGCTTCCCCCGGCCGGTGCTGCACGGAGGCTGTCCCTTTGCTCGTTCATCTCCCCCTCTGTCTCCTCGGCAGCTCTTGCGGATGAATCTGGGCACTTCTTCTTCAATGGGAATTCTGCTATCGACAATCCACAGAACTTCAGAGTGGCTGGCACCGTGTTCAAATACCGGCGGCCTTCAAACCTGCACTCGGACGGCCTAGAGTACATCATCGCTCCAGGACCTACCAACCAGTCTCTCAATGCCATGGTAAGCGGGGCTTGTATGTTGTGTGCTCTCCATTCCCTGCTCGCGTTCCCTGGTCCCTGGGTTCTTTCGACTATGCCATGGGCCGCCTGTTTCTCTCCTGTGTTTAACCAGCACTTTCAGTGAGTGGCTTTAGAAAAGCAAGAATGCTGCCTTTGGTTATGAGAACAAAAGAAAGCCTTCTCTTATATGCTGGGCAGAGAAGCAGCGGCCTCGCCTAGGAGCTCTCCCAGCTGCCGCCGACTTTTACCTACCTGAAAATGGCACCGGTCATTTAGGGCCATTTATCACGCGCTTGTCCTCTCTCCCTCCCCGTGTTTGTTTCTGGCTTCTTGAGATGATACGGTGAATCTCCCATTTGGGTCTGTGTCTAACCAGGCGGGTTTCTTTAGAGCAGGACAAATGCAGCATTTAATAGTGGAAGCAACCGCAAGTGCGATTTTCCTCTTCTGTATTTGTGCTATTCTGCTGTGCCGCAGCGCAACCTAGAGGTGATGGAGCAGGAAAACAGGAAGGAAATATTTCTTCCATAGTGCTTGGATCTCAGTTCTGTCACACAGCCAAACATGGCCGCATGGATTCATGGCGGATGAGCAGTCTTATGTAGACAAGTTCTGCAGAAGGTCGTATGATCAAGACTGTTTTCTTGCATTGCTGGCGAGCACTAGTATGTCTGCCAGGCACACGATTGAACGATCCATGTTCCGAATCTGCAACTCCGGTTGAGGCAAAGCTCCTGTGTCGTGCTGACTTTGGGTGGGCCGAAGCTGCTCCCTTGGCCATTGGATCAGCATTCCTGGCTGTTGGCCACCATTTTGAGGAATGTTGGGAGATGAAGGCCCAAGGAGGATCCTGGAGGTCACGAGGCTGGGGAAGCTGCTCCAAAGTATCTTCTGCAAAGGAGATGCTCTGCTTTTCACAGGTTTCAGTGTCTGTAATGCTGTCATTCAGCTTCTTTTCATGGCACGCAGGAACGTTCTGGGCTGATCGCTTCACCCCAGGCTAACTAAATGCCAGGAGACCTTGACCACGAGCCAGGGAACTTCCTGTGCTTAGCTGCTCGTGTCAGATCCGTCTGAATCCACAAGTGGAAGGTCACAACCAGTGCTTTTTTTGTAAGAAAAAAGGTGCCGGAACTCATGAAATTATTAACCTTTTGCACGTAGTCAATCACTGTACACACACCCACACACATCAGTTGTGTAACGAAACATAACAGTTGCCGCCCGCAGTAAGCACTCAGTGCACGACCACACAACCAATCACAAGCCACGCGGTGCCACAAGCCGAGCTGCACCATCACAACCAGCGCGGACGAAGTACGCACGCATCGGATTCGACACACAGGCAGCCCACATGCACCGTTTCAATGATTTTGCCGCCCACCTGCTACGCTCAACAGGGCGATTCAAATCCACGTGGACCAAACATCAAATTTTCAAAAGTTACTTTTAAAACTTGGAAAATCTGTCGAAAAAAGGTGCTGGAATTCTGTTCCGGTGCATTCTTTGACAAAAAAAGCACTGGTCACAACCGTCTCCTTTTTGTATGTGGTCCCGATGTTCCTCTTTCTGTAATTTCTCAAGCACAGGTTTGTTCCATCCTGCTTCTGCATCTGCACGAACATTCATGCACGTTTCGTACGTGACTTTCCCTGTCATGGACAATTTGAGCAAGAATTTTCCGTACTACAGGCCTTTTTAAATGCTATTTTTCCTAAGGTACGCATTTATGTATGCAGTTTTGATCAGAGGGCAGTATCACAAAGCTTGGAGAAGCACAAAGGGAATTGTGCTCCAGTTTGCATATTAGTTCCACAAGTACAAATTAGGTCAGCTCGTATTGGAATGCCAACCAAATGAATCTCCCCCCGTCTCTAGCAGGGGCGTCGCTCCACTATTCTGTGTGTCTGATTCTGTGCAGGCCAGCCGAAGCGTCACAGCTGGGCAAAGCCGTGCCTTTCCTACAAGGCCGCAACAGTGCCGAGCTCAGGCTGCCGCTCCGGCCTGCTTTGGAGCCCCCCTTAGAGTTCTCTCTGGGGCAGAGAAGTTTTCTAGTTCCCGTTATACACGCACCTGCAAGTCACACCAGGGAAGACAGCCGTCCTGACTTGATAAGACGCTAGATCCCAAACTGCTCTGTAGATATTAAATCTGGTTCCTAATACTGCCTTGCCCTTGTGTTTGTCTCCCGCTTGGTATAATTTCCCACAGGAGTGCGTTCTTGCAAAAGTGGGAGTTCGACAATGGGAGCACCCATTGGCTTGTGCTCTGTCACGCTCTCCTCTAGTCCCGGATTTCTCAACCATAATGCTTCCCTTCTTTTCTTCCTTGCCTGTCAGGTGGCCATTTGATTCTAGATTAATTCACACAGAGGGTGATCCAGAAGGGCTATGCAAGCAGATGGCGCTGGGCTGAAGTGCCAGCATTTCAGGCTACTTAGTGATTTTTATGTATTATATTTGTGCCCTGCCTTTTTCTCCTTTCAAAGAACCCAAAATACCTTAGATGATCCCCTCAGCTTTATTCTCATAACAACCACCCTGTGAGGTAGGTGAGGCTCAGAGTCTGCGGCCAGCCCAGAGTCACCCTTTGAGCTGCACGGCTGGGTGGGGACTCGAACCTGGAGCTCCCAGGTGCCACAGTGGCTGTGACAGTAGCTAGAGGTGGGCGGAGGAAGGGGCCACGTAAGTCACATGTCTGAATTTTCCCCTGTGTGCACATGCTAATTCTAAGACTGTCTCTTTAAAGTCAGATAATGCCAGACAAGTGTAACAAACCCAGTAATAATCGTTCAGCTGGTCTCTGACTCTGCACCCAACATGCCAACAGGAGGTGACCCGAGACCTTGTGAGGAGCAGCCTTGAAGGGGATTCATGCAGCAATGAAATGAGAAGCTCTTCTCCATGAGGCTGTTCAGCACTGCATCTACTTTCAGCTTCCTTGCAGAATGGAGACTTGAGCACAATAGCGTTTGTTTTCCTGCTTTTCTGCTACATCACCTCTAAGTGGCACTGTGGCATAGCAGAACAGCACACATACAGAAGAGGAAATCACGCTTGCTTTCGCTTTCCCAATTAAATGCTGCATTTGTCCTGCTCTAAAGAAACCCGCCTGGTTAGGCACAGGACCAAATGGGAGATTCGCCATATCATCTCAAGGAGCCAGAAACAAACACGGGGAGGGAGAGAGGACAAGCGCAGGATAAATGACCCTAAATGACCGGTGCCATTTTCAGGTAGGAAAAAGTCGGGGGCAGCTGGGAGAGCTCCTAGGCGAGGCCGCTGTTTCTCTGCCCAGGTCCAAAGTTCAGATGACTCATTACAGCCAAGCCCATCCTCCTGACTGCCAGAGCCCCACCTCTGAGGGGCAATGTCAGAAAGCGTTCTGGTTCGGCGACACGGACTATGCTAGCATTGAATGCCCTAGGATTTGGCCAGGGCCCTTCTCCACTGTGGACCCCTAATTCAGGGAGGCAGATGGGGTGCAGGGATGAGAAGCTCTTTCGTTCATCTTCAAGAGGGAATTCCAGGAGCTGTTCGCAGATGGGTCGCGGGGCGGTGAGGTGACCTGACCGGACAACCGTCACCCCATGGATTGATCTGCGTGCAACATTTATCCCTGGCCCTTTAAGCCAAAAGGCCCTGGGTGGGGGGCTTGCAAAGATAAATATCTGGCAGTTCTTGCCTTTGGGGTGATCATACCCATTCAAGGCCTGACACAAAGGGAATAAAGGTTAGAGAAGGAAGGAGGTGGAGTTAAGAACCTAATGGAAGTGTTTCAGACGGCTGACGATGACGAGTGTCCGCTTGCATTCTCTTCCCTTCCTGCTCAGAAGGCAGGGGGCTCCCTGTATTGGGGAGGGGAGGCGAGGCCCAGTTCTGGGAGGGGTCTCCCTTGGAAGGGTCGGATCACAACACAAGGGCAGCCTCGCCCCGGTCAAAATGGCTGTCCGACGGCTTACACGGTTGCTTTGGTTCCCTCTTCTTTTTCCCTTGCTGAACGCAGTATTATAACCTGAACGGCAAAATGCCCCATGTCACCTATGACTACACGGTGCCGAGGATGCTGTCGCCGGCTCTGCAGACGGCTTCTCCGGCCAGCCAGGTGCCCCTCTACCTTCACCTGCGGGAGCCCAGCCACGGTCGGCAGAAGGCGATGCCCTCCGTTGCCCAAGGTCTCAACGCCACCTGGGACTCCCTGGCTCCCAAGGGTGCAGGGGAACGCTTCCTGCAGGGGAACAAGCACAGTGGCGTGGCCTTCAGTGGCCAGCATTACTTCCTGAGCAACCTCTCTGCTCAGGACAAGGACTGGGCCTGGAAACCCGGCGCAGGGGAAGACAGGCTTGGATTCCGAGCTCAGCAGGCCTCCCGGACGAATGGAGCAGGGGAAGAGGAAGGCGTGCCGGTGGGCAAAGAAGCAGGCCTGGGTGAGTGGGCTTTCTCCTCACTGTTTTCTCAAGCAGGCACAGCTGCTGCTTCTTTCTGCTTCCGCATGAAACAAAGGCGTGGATGGACCAATGCTGCCTGGAGGATGGTAGAATTTAGTCATTCAGACACTCTTGATCGAGGGCTGAGATTTTCTCTAAAGCATTGACATTCTCCTAGTATTAGCATTTCTAACCCAAATCCTGATAGCAACAGTGATTTCCACTCCAGGCTTAGGACAGAGGAAGGGCCATCTTTTAAAAGCCTGGAGCCTTTTTAATGGAGAACACTGGCACTTTTATCTCTGCAGTCAGGAAGGTTAGAAACTCGTTTCTGAAAGCTTTGCAAGAAATCATCCCATTTTAACTCTGCTCCAGATCGCAGCTGGCCTTGTCCACACCTCAGTTTGCCCCAGGACTGGCACAGTCGGCTGAGCCCAATTCCCTGTTTCTTTGGAAACAAGTGCCCTGAACTGGAGAGGCGAGAAACCGAGAGGGCAGGATCTGATTCAGCACTCACACTTATGTAAATTATGTAAATGATGTAATAGCGGAAGTGACCGCTTGTGCAACACCAACAGCATTTGTGGGTGCAACTCTTCCCTGGAAAATCCATTGCAGCTGCAAGTAATACTGAACATCCCGCTCGAGGTTGCTTACAAGTTTAGTGTCCGTTAGTGCTGCTGTTGAACAGGCCCCTGCCCAGGCTGAAATAGTCTGGGCTCACGGGCGTGTCTTTTCTTTAAGCCTTCAGGCTCAGTCAGGTGGCCATCAGCACAGCTGTTCCTCATGGCGCTGGGGGGCCGGAGCTTTATAAGACCAGCAAGACTGGGCCATCCAGACCGCATCTTCTCCAGAAGCTGTGTCTCCGGGATCCACAAAACGTCCCCCTTTGCAGGGAACTGCACTACCTGGCAGTCAAGCTGGGGAGGAAGAATTCAACGATAAGGTTCTGGGGCGTCCCACTGGTAGAGTGGCTGGAACGATGGCACAGGCAGCCTGCCAAAAGCAACTTTCTAGGGAATGCCAACGCTGAAGCTTACGTGGTGGGCGAAAGAGGGAATGGCACTCTGCGGGCCACGTCTTCCGAGCCTGGTGCCACTTCCAGCCTTCAGAGCAGCTTCGAGAACAAGCCGCTCTCAGAACCTCTTCAGGCTCCTGGCACCGAAAGGTGAGATGGGAAGATGTTCCCTAGGTAAAGGGGGGCAAACATCCTCTCAGGGTGAAGATTGCTGTGATGCAAAAGGAGGACTCGTCTTGAAAGCTGCAGCCAAGATGTGAGCCCTGCTTCCTTTCGCCTTTAGCTTTAGCGGCAGGAAGATTTACCAGCGGCCTAGGTTCACTCTTGCCCCAGCTTCTGAGATTCAGTGGGGGTGCCTCCTTAGAAACACAGGAACAGAGCGAGTCAGAAGGGGTCTCCTGGGTCATCTAGTCTGACCCCCAGCTCCAGCTGGCACCACTCAAGGCATGCCTACTCCTTGAAGTGCTAAGCTGCTCCAAGAGAGAGTTCTTGGAGACATTACTGATGGCTGGCTTAGCCAGAACTTCATTTTTTCAGAAGTCAATCTGGAGAAGAAATGTATGTTTACATGTAAACTGGGGTACCTTACTGGGGGAGCTGCCAGCTAAACCGCATCAAAGAAGTCCGCCCCATTCCCGAGAGAGGCTGGGTTCAACGATGAGGCAGGCCACAGTGCCTTCGCACGTGGGTTGGCCTGTCCTGTGGTCGGAACCCCCGACCGTCATGGTAGTTCAGTCTGGTAGGTTTGGGCTTTGGAAACCACTAGCTGCTCTGGTTTCCGTGTGCCACAGAGGCTTGTTGTGCCATCTGAACTGGGAAAACATGGGTATGAAGGCCAGAGCTAGATTGCTGCTTGGTGCAAACAGCCGTTGCCACGTTTGCCAAGTGGCTAGCCAGAGAGTGCCGCTGGCAGCGACTGTTTTGGGCAGAGGGGTCCAACTCCTGCCTGCTTCCTGCCTTCTTTGGGCGAGAGCAGGCATTGAAATGGGCAGTGCTACAGAGAGCTGACTCTCCCGCCGCCCCCCTGCATGCATGCCTGAAAGGAGCTCCTCATGTGCAAGTCAGCTTTGGAGAAGCCCTTTGTGCCTCAGACCAGTGGCGGGAGGGCTGAAGGCCAAAGGGCAGGAGCAAGGCTGCTGAATAGGTCGCTTGTTGGCAGAAACCCAGCCGTAGGAGAAGCCCTTCTGAACGGCGGAATGGCCAGGCAAGAGCAGGGAAATCGAACGCTGCTTGGGGGAAGAGGGGCGAAGGCGCAGGACTGAAGGCTGCCTGCTCTTCCGGGGACTCTGGAGCTGGCCCGGGGGCCTGCTCCTCAACTCCCCGATCCTGGCGCTCACGCATCCGTTTCTCCTTCCCGCAGCAATGACTTCGAGCTGAGCCCTCTTGGCCATGACGACATCAGTCTGGCTGACATGTACCGCTGGAAAGTGTCACCCTACGCCCCCTGCAGCTCCACGTGCACCTCAGGTAGCTTTGCCCCTGCTGCAGGGCTTTCGGGGTGGCAGCCTGGTCCCTTTTGCTCCGCCCGCCGGCTTCCTCGCAGCGAGGAGGGGCATCCGAGGCCCTTGGCTAGCAACTGGATGGGATGCAGTGGGATGGCAGGCTCCGGGTTACCGTGGGGCTCAGAGGAGTCTGTTTTGGGGGTGGGAATCGGATGGGTTCTGTGGCTCGGCTCCCTGGGCTCGTGCCCGCTTCGTCGTGGCCCTGAGTTGAGATCCCGGCAAGCCTGCCCCACGCTTGTGGGGGGCTCTCCGGGAATCAAGCCCCAGATACCTCCCTCGTCCTTGCCATGCGCAGAAGCCGTTCGTTGCTGCACCCGCTGTGCCAAAACGGCCATTTGTGTCCCTTCTCCTGACTTGGAAGAAGGTTCCTCATGGAGCAGCCGTCATCGCCCGAGCTTGTGCAGACGTCCTCGCAGCTGGGCTCGCTTTCCAAGTCTCGGCCGAGCACGAGAAGTCTGCCAACGCGAGAGGGCCGTGCTCTGGCGAGTGTTGTCCCAGCCCTAGTCTGCAATAACGCCCTTGTGCGACACTCGGGATGTGCGAACTGCTTGCACTGCCTGTGCCTCGTCACTTTGCATCCTCAGGCGTCGTGTGGAGCCGGGGGCGCAGCCACTGCGCACAGCCGTTCTGGCGCTGGGGGCACAGCCAAGGCATGTGGGTGGAGCGCTAGCCCTGACTTAGGGCCAGCCCAGCCAGCCCAGGGTACAGCCCCACCACACGACGCGGCCGTATTCCGGGTCGGACCCTTGTTCCGGGTCGTCTCCTGGCTTGGCAGAAGCTGCCCGAGGCCTCAGAGTTGGACGAGCTTTGCCTGAACGGAGGCAACGTTGGTTCCCCCCAGGAATCAGCGCTTCCTACGCCATGTGTGTCCGCTACGATGGAGTGGAAGTGGATGACGGGTACTGTGATGCGCTGACCCGCCCAGAGCCCACGCATGAGCTCTGTGCAGGCCGAGACTGCCAGCCCAGGTGAGTTGATGGCTCCGGGGGGAGTGGGGGGTGTAATCCGGACACTGGGGGAAACAGCTGTAGCTTGCGACTGGTGGAGCAGAGCTGCGACTTTCTCCCAGGCTGGGTGGGTAGTTGCTTTCCACTTGGGCCTTTGAAACCATGGAACCAACCCAGGCAGCCCTGGTGCCTGACTCCCCATTGCTCGTGTTTCCATGTGCTGATTTCCCAGGAAAATAGGTATAATTTAAAGAAGCCAATGCAAAGCACTCGGCACTCATGGGGGTCAGAAAAAGCCCATGCAAGGGGGACATTCCTCCAAACCCATGATAGTAAATCTGAAATCCCTGCCTTAGAACAACCAGAGGAAGAATTTATTGACAACCTGTCGAGCGATCCAGTTTTCAGCCCGTTGCAATGCGAACGACTCAGATGATTCGCGGGGCCCTCTTGACGCACCCGTGGCGCTTTTCCCGGCCCTTTGCAGTCTGAGCTGCCAACAAAGCGGGAAGTACAGAGGAAGAGTGGACCGACCCACGTTCAAGAGGAAGGGGCTTAGGAGAGCTCGGGCGTCAAGAACTGGATTAGGCCCAAAGTCTAGTCTCGTCTAGTCTAGTGCAGCATTTTGGTCTGGGATCCCACGAGCAGGATGGGCTTCCCGCCCGAGTCCCAGCAGTGGTCATGCGCAGGGCTCCTTTCAAAAGGTCCACTGGTTTGGATTTTCGTTCTGGGGAGGGGCTGCTCCAGCAGTTTCCCAGCACTGCCAGCTAGCAGAAGGTGTGTAACTCGTTTATCAGGTGTGCCAGCTGGTGTCAGGAAAGCTGCCCTCTAAAGATGGCTTGTTGTGAGACCCCTGTTAGGATAGAGCAGAGCAGGCCTGGGGGTGGGGGGCGTTGCTAAGAATCCGGGCAGGGCTTTGGTCTCCCTGTTAACCCTTTTCTGCCCAGGATTAATAGTGCATTGCAGTTTGATGTAGGCATTTTGGGATACTCTTAACATGGAATAATGGACACAGTGGATTTACTGCTGAGTAAATTCATGCCCTGCACTGTCAGCAGCTGGCACTGTGATCCTGTTCATGCGGAACATGTGCAAAGGCGTCTTGGGCTGAGCAGGTGTTGCTTTTTCCCTGCCCCGCCGCTGGGTCCCATGCGGAGGTGGGAGACCAGCCGGTGGAGCGAATGTTCCAGGACGTGCAGCGAAGGCTCCCAGTTCCGGACCGTGCGGTGCTGGAAGATGCTGGCGCCCGGCTTTGACAGCTCCGTGTACGATGACTTGTGTGAATCAGCCGGGCTCGCCAGGCCCATGGAGCGGAAATCGTGCAAGAGCAAAGCTTGCGGCCCACAGTGGGAGCTGTCAGAGTGGTCCGAGGTATGTGCTTCTTCAGCAGGGTGAAAGCAAAGACTGACCCACGGGGGTGGGCAAGCCACTGTCCTCCAGATGTTTTGGACTCCAGCTCCCATAAGTCCCTGCCAGCGTGGTACAAATTTTATTTATTTACTTGTCTTTTATATACCATCTCATTACTAATGTCTTGGGACGGTTTACAACAGGCACAGACAAACATGGCACAGCATCTAGCCATCCACACTAAAATCACAATTAAAACAAATTAAACATTAAAATAATGGGAGAATAAAAAGGTTTTCACCTGGTGCCGGAAAGAAAAAGGTGTTGGCGCCAGGCGAACCCCTCTGGGCAACGTTTTCCACAATCGAGGGGCCACCACAGAGCAGGCCCTCCTCTGGGTAATTGCCCTCCTGATCTCCTTCAAGGAGGGCTCCCGAAGAAGGACCCCCCGCCTCAGATCTCAAGGGGCGGGGGGCAGATAGGGGAGAAGGCGCTCCTTCAGGTATCCCGCACCCAAGCTGGTTAGGGCTTTATAGGTCATCACCAGCACCTTAAATTGGGCCCGGACTTCAATTGGCAGCCAGGTAAGTGATAGAGCACCGGCGTGATACGTGACTCTGGAAATTGTAGTCCCTCGTAGAGGCAGCCTGAGGAGCATCCGAGGGGACAGAGGTCACGGGACCGGATGCAAACAGCGCCCCTGCATGTATAACGGCTGCACGGAAGAGGGAATTCCGACTGGCATTGCTAGTCCCTGGACAGCCCGTCCCACCGCCATTCCCATAAGCCAGTTCCAATCCTCCCCAGCCACTTCTAATTAAAAAGACGCACAACGAAGTCAGGGGTGACACGCATCAGGCTCAGGCCTTGCATGAGCACCGAGTGGGGTCCACAGGCCCACGGTGCAAGAGGCTGGCACAGGGATCTGGAAGGCTGAGCCAGCCAGCAGCCCCGGGCAGGGCCAGTGGTGCCCGATCCTTGTGTCCTCCTGCCCCAGGTGGGAATGACCCTGCCAGGAAGGTGTGCCCTGTGCCAGTGTGAGCTTCTTGCGGGAATCTTGGGTCATTTTTCTTGGTAGGTGGGAGGAGCGGGCGATACTCAGGTGGCAGGACAAGCGTCCTGTGTCCCCAGAGGGGGTGGTGGCCAGGGGCTGCTGCATCTCCTGCAAGCCTTGCCTCATCTCTCCCACCACGTGGCCACCTCTGCCCGCCCCCATCCTCGCAGTGCTCTGCCCGGTGTGGCGGTTCCGGCACGATGAAGAGGGAGGTGCGCTGCTCGGACGAAGCCAGTCTCTGCAGTGAGTCCGCGAAGCCGGTGAGCGAGAGGGAGTGCGCAGGGGCCCCCTGCGACAGGCGCTGGACGGCCTCGGAGTGGGGACCGGTGAGTCCGCGTGTGGCGATCTCGGCTTTCTCCCAACCCCTCCTCTCAGGTCAGGATCTGCGGGTGCGGGAGGTGACGGGATGGTCATCCCCAGGAAATGAATGGGGACTGAGGGCATCCGGAGGCATAGCCTCGTGGCGGTGCTGGACTTCTGCCTCCGTCGCATCCCTGCATGGCCCAGAGAGAGAGAGAGGGGGCTCTACGCCGATCTCGTGGGTGGGCTGACCCAGTTGCAGAGGCCCCTCTGTGGGTCGCAGAGGCTACTGGGTATCGGAGTGATTCTGGGGAAGCACAGCAGCTGCTGTCCAAGAGAGCCTTTCCGGGGCTATTCATCTCCCTATTTCAGAGTAGACTTGGCCCCACTTTTTGGATATTATTTTATCATCATGAGGTCTAGAGGCTTTCTTTGAAAATGAGCACAACAGTTTAAGTTTTAAGAAGCCAGTTTTTGTGGTCCAGGTTACATGGGGCAGAAGAAGATGCAAGCGCTCCTTAGACCTGTCCAGCCTGGAGAGAGCCCCTCCCAGGCGTGGGATGGCGCTCAGCCACCCTTCCCTTGAAAGGCCTCTCTCTCTCTCTCTCTCTCTCTCTCTCTCTCTCTCTCTCTCTCCTTCCTTCTTTCTCCCTCCCTCCCTCCCTCCCTCCCTCCCTCCCTCCCTCCCGCTCGCCTTGCTTGCTTGCTTGCTTGCTTGCTTGCTTGCTTCCTTCCTTCCTTCCGTCTTCCTTCCTTCCTTCCTTCCTTCCTTCCTTCCTTTCTTTCTTTCTTTCTTTCTTTCTCCAAGTGTTCAGGTCTGTGTGGCGAGGGACGGATGAGCCGTTTCGTCACGTGCCGCAATCTGGAGGGGAAGGTGATCTCGGACTCCCAGTGCGACCCCAGCACCAGGCCCTTGGCGGTCCATCCCTGCGGAGAAAGGAACTGCCCTGCGCACTGGGTGGAGCAGGACTGGGACCAGGTGAGTCTGCCCTCGGCTGCGCCGTCCATGCGGCTGGGGGAGCCGTCGCAAGCTGGCCGGTCCCGGGAGACCCCTCCACGCCCCAGTTGGCCTCCTCCTGCCGGGTGTGTGTCCTGGCTCAGGCGTCAGTCGGCTGTGCGCTGGCCCTCCAGGAAGAGGTCCAAGGAACTCGCGTCGGCCCCATCCCTGAGCCAGTCTGCCGCTCCCGGCTCTGTGGGATCGCAGGTGTTATCCTGACTCTGGGGTCTGAGCTGCGCCGAGACGCCATTTTTCGCCGAGCCGTCTGCCCCTCTCTCGCCTCGTTCGGTCCTGATGTGTGCAGTCACCTGCACGTGAAAGAGGCACGGGGCCGCGTGGGCCAAGGATGGTTTATTTAGTGCATTCATATCCTGCCCTTTTTCCTCGCAAGGAGTTCAGAGCACCTTACCATAATCCTCTCAAACTTATCCTCAGAACAACAGCCTTGTGAGGTAGGCCAGGCTGAGAGTAAGCTCCATGGCTGAGCGGGGTTAGAATGCAGTCCCACAGCTGTAACCACTCTGCCACACTGCACCCCTGTATTGTGGCCCGCCAGGAGGCCGTGGACACTCCCGGGGCTGTTTGCGGCCTCTTGAAGGGTTGTGCGAGGGTCGATTAACCCTCAGATAAACCCCGCCAGCCAGGCTTGCACAGCGGGACAACCCCCGCGTGGGCTTGGACCGTCATCGAGGTGGCCGGCACGTCCCTTGCCCCACCCGCTTCTGGGCTGGGGCGGAACGTCAGTCCTGCAGCGAGAGACTCGGGCAGCCTCTGATTACCTCATTTCCCCCCTTGCAGTGCAATGCCTCATGTGGCCGGGGGGTCAAGATGCGGACGGTGCTGTGCGTGGGGCTGGAGAACGGCCTGTACAGGGAGTACCCTGAGCTGCAGTGCGGCGCTGCCCCGAAGCCGGACACGCAGGCATCCTGTTTCCAGAGGCTCTGCTCCACCTGGTTTTCCACCTCCTGGTCCCAGGTAGGGCGCGAGGCCGGGGACGCCCGGGAGGCGCGTGGGGGGCTTGAGACGGACGGGGGCGGAGGGAACGGGCGGGAAGCACTGAAGTGGGAAGGAGGTGAGTCGGGGGGGGGGGGGGGACGGCGCGCGGGGCCGGGGGGGGGGCGGCGGGGGTGGGGGGCAGGAAGGGTCTGTCTGCAGTCGCCCACCGTCCTTATTCCTCAGATCGCCTCTGCCTTGGTGTGCCGTCCGGGGCATCTGTGGAACGCAGGTGGCAGTGGCTGGGAATCTGCGCATCACCTTGGAAGGGGCCCCGCGCCAAATATTTAAAAGGACCCTCCCCCCCACAGGCGTCCACATGGAGGGGGTGGTACTCTGGGCGCATGGGCCCCACGCTGCCTGCCCGTAATGCAAGGGGCTTCCGCAAGGGTATTCCCCCCCCCCCCCCAGCTGGGGAGTCGTGTGTGCAGCCCCTGCCCTGCGCGGATCCTGGGGGCCCGTCTCCGGGCTCACGTTCCTCGGCAGCAGAACAGTGCGAGGGGCCGAGCCCAGGACTAGCTTCGCGGTCCCGCTTTGGTTCCTCAGAAGCATTGTCTGTGCTCCGGCTTCAAACCCTGCGCTGCCGGACGTTGATTAAAACTGGGCGCCTCCCATTGACAGTTGCTCAGCATTCGCTGAAACCGCCGGCTGGCTCGGCCATCCAGCGCCCAGCCGAGCGAGTGAGCGAGCCCCCGCACGCTGCCCCCGCAGGGGTGGAGGTTGCCGCCCCCGTGCGCGTGCTGCCCTCCTGCCTGAGGGGAACGCCTCTGCCTTTGTCTCTCCCCCCACCCGTGCCCACTCCTCCGCAGTGCAGCAAGACGTGTGGCCCGGGCCTGCGGGTCCGCGAGGTGAAGTGCTACCACGGGGAGGCCCTGGGGCAGGGCTGCGAGGCCGCCTCCAAGCCTGAAGCCCGGCAGCTGTGCCAGCTGCACGGCTGCCCCACCGACGCCCCCGGTAAGCTCGCTCGCTTCCTTGCATGAGAGACGACATGGCTTTACGTTTCAACTACCAAACCGCACTTTGAATGGTGAAAGCCCTGGCAAGCATGCTGTCTTACCTGAATGCTTCTCTTCAAAAACCCGTTTCCAGTCCTCTATATATATTTTACCAAAAAAGCCTTATAGGAAGAAGTGACATATTTTTCTGCAGTAAAGTACATATTTCATAAGTAACTGAAAAAGCCGTCTCAGCAGGGGGCCTCCCCCCTCGGGGCACCCGTGTGGGCCCTGCTCGGAGGAGGGAGGCGATGCCGTGGTGGTTTATGTCAGAGGAGGCACCCCGGGATCAGGTGCGTTGAAGGAGGTGAGGTCACGCCAGCGAGGAACAGGATGGGGACCCGTCCGGTGAAGGCGGAGGCGGCAGGGAAGTGTGAGGCCCGGGATGGGAGAGGAAAGGCGGGGCAGTTCAGAGACCTGTGCAGAAAAAGGGGCGGAGAAAAAAGAATTGGAGGGGGGAAGAGGAGGCTGGGGAGAGAAGGGGCAAAGTGAGCGGTGTCTTTTGGCCAGGAGCTGCAGCGGCAAGGGAGGCCGAAGTCTCCATGTTAACCAGGAATCAGCTGCTGCTCTGGAAAGAGAAGCCCGTGCGTGTTCTTGTGAGGCAGGCAGGCGAGCCCGTGGCTGGGGGCGCTCGCCAGCCTCAGGGAGCAGCTGGACAGGGCCCTGGAGGTGCTGAGCACGCTTCTTGTCGCGTTTCCTCTCTGTAGATGAAGACTGCGAAGACAAAGCGTCCGCCAACTGTGGGCTGGTCCTCAAAGTGAAGCTTTGCTCACACTGGTACTATAGGAAGGCTTGCTGCCGATCTTGTAGGAATAAAGCCACCTGATTCCTCACCAGCCTGCGGCTTTCCTGCCTTGAACAAGGAGCAAAGTGTCCTTCAGGGACAGACTGGACTGAAATCTGTATTCCAAAGCAAGTGGAGGTGGACGTGAACCTACGGAGCAACCTATTCAGTTGCTAAAATGACGGCTCTCCGAAAAGATCCTCTTCACAGACCTTGTCAAAAACTGCCCGCGTCTCTCTGTCACAGAGAGCACATAATGAGCGACCTTCGCTGCGCTGCCCAGAGGCATCTTGTCACGGGAAGTGACATGAAAATCTTTGCTGCCCTGCTTCTTGTCATCCCCGGGGCTCAGTGGAAAGGAAACGGCCTCCCTCAGGACCATCAGCGCATCCTTCAGCCCCCGCATTCCCTCGAGCAGCTGCCTTCTGCCCTCCTAGGTGAGGGAGCTGGAGGTGATCCTGTGAAATCTGCCTCAGAGCTCGGTCCGCCTGGCTCCTGTTTTCATTTGCAGCCCCTTTTGTAAAAGTACACGCTCCCCGCAGAGGACGGAGCACCAAAAGCATGTGTTCTGCGGGAAATGTGCATTAAAATACTTCTGAATGAAATCACAAGTTTAGGGATAAGACTTTTTCTGGAAGAAAACGCACTTGCCTTTGCATTTGGGGTTGCAGAGGGAGCCTGTTCTGATTATTGGCGGATCGAAGCAAAATTCAGGGGCAATCCCAGGCTGTCATTCCTTCCTTTCCTACTCCGACATGAGTCCAGGCCACGACCCTTCTGAACTCCTTCAGACGACACAAAGCATATCGGTGAAAGCTTGCTGTGGGATGAGGTCAAAGTTCCGTTTAGCTCAGCACTGTTTCTTACCATATCCAACCGGACGCATCTGGGAACATAAACACAATCCATGTTTAACCCCACACTAAAGGCATTCAGAGGTCTCCATCGTTTGGACATGCAGGTTCCCTTTGAATGATGTAGCCAGTACCTGCTGATAGTCAGACTCCCTGTGAATCCGCTCCGCCCTCTTCAAAAGCAGTCGGGTAGCCACCAGTACCGCATCTTTACAACACGTTTGCAAGGTAGGCATTGCTGTTTCACCCCATTTGTTGCAAACTGGGGAGAGGCTGAGAGAGAATTGCTTGCTGAAGGCCGCGGGGTCAGTTCATGGAGCCCAAAGGAATTAGGACTGTGTCCTTTCGGAGAAGACACTGATACTCATCCGCATCCAGCCCGCACAAGGCCGACGGTACCCAAGCGCAGCCGGTGGTGCCCTTCTGACCTTGCCTGTGGCACTTGGGATGGAGATCGTGAGGTCGGTGTCAGACGTGCAGGCAATTCAGCACAGGACAAAGAGTCCCTTGAGGAAAAATCCGGAGCCACTGCCTTTGGGATGCAGCCAATGCCATGCAAAGCTTCCATCTTGGAAGATGGGACATTTCCACACAGACATGTACTGGGAGGAAAGCCATAGCAAAAAGGAGAAAAGAGGGCTGGTTTGCATGGTCCGTCCTGGAGCTGTACCCGCCGGTCTGTGTTTCGTAACCTTTCCTCCACCAGATTGTTCCTTTAAAACCACATCACAATAAAGTGAGAAATGGTCTTGATTTCCTGATGTGAAGAGACCTGTGGGGGCTGGAAGGCCATCCCTGGTGGAGGTGGCAAGAACCGTGGGAGTTGGGAAAACCTAAGGGAGGGGAGTCTTCTGATACCCCGTGGCATCTTGAGCAAGATCTTGGCCTGGCTTGATCGGGATGTTCCTGCAGCTGGTTTCAGCAGATGGAGCTGGTTGGAGCAGCCTTGGTGAACATCCTGCCCAGGAGGGGGGCAGCTCCGTATCGGGGTGGGGGGACACCCAGCCTCCTCTTCCGAGCCCAGGGGAAGAACGCTGGCTTGCCGGGGTCTCTCTCCAGCAATGCTGCACTGTTTGGTCAGCATGGTGTTGGCATTACACAACTCCGGAAACTGCTCAGCGAGTCTATCCATGCAGCCGAAGGGGAGAAGGAAGCCAGCTCTCTGCGCCCAGAGGAGCATTCGCTTGGTGGGGCTGGGGCAAATGCAGGGCCACCGGCATGACCACAGTCCCAGGCGGCCAGGCCGATCGTCCTGCCCCCTTGTTGCCTTACGTGCCCATGTGTGGACTGAGTGCTTGGATGCAGGCCCCTCACGGTGCTTGATCTAGCGCACGCCTGGCCTGAGCCACAGCGCTGCGTTGCGTCTGCCTGATCCGCAGATGTGGGTAGCTGCTCTCCGTGTGCTGAGGGGGCACCACATTGTCTCCTGGGGGAAGGAGGACACAGTCCTGTTTTCATTTCCTACTTTTCTTCAAATGGAGACCCAGTTGTCCTGGGAGTTGATGATGATGCAAATCTGAAATGCAAAAACACCATGCCCTGCCCTGCCCTGCCCTGCCCTGCCCTGCCCTGCCCTGCCCTGCCCTGGAAAGTGACCTAAAACCACCCCAACCAGAAGCAAGATCACTGGCAGTGAAGACGTCCCGTACCTCCTCCCCACCTCCAATGCACTCCAGCGCCCGGACAGGCAGGTGGCCAACCCCAGCCAGGTCCCAGAAGGCGTTCCTTGTGTTTCTGACGCCAGTCGATAGAAATGCAGCAAGGCTTTCCGTGAAGGCTGGAAACCAGGAGGCCAGGACTGCCCTTCCTGGCCCGGCTGTGTGTGAACAGTGGCCAGCCGGAAGGTCCAGCCTGCCTGCTTGATCATCCACGCCATGTTCCCTCCTGCAAGGCCTTTGCAAGATCCGAGTGCGCACGCCCCCAGGTCGACCTCGGGAGCCAGCGGGCTGCAAGTGGGGAGAGGTGGCTGGGGACCCGGTTTCGCGGGAGGCCTTTTGCCCCCATCCCCTGCTCTCCGCAGGCAGGAGGGCTACGTGGCTTCCTTGCGCATGGGCCTTGGATAGTTGGGGCAGTGCCCTAGATCCTCAGCGCAGCCCCGGCTGCCCTCATCGGCCTCGATCCAAGTGTGCCGCTCCCCTCTGAGCTCGGAGGAAATCTTACGATGCCCTCGCTTAGCAGATGAAGCACAGCGTGAAAACACGAAGCCTCTACGCTAGATGGGGACTGCAGCCCTTCCTTCCACACTCTGCTCGTGATCTTCATTAAGCCCAGCCTTGCCCAGGCTGGCACCCCAGGTCTTCCATTTGGGAAGCCATCTGCCCCCAGTGCCATCTTGCTGAAAACGGTTCCGGGCCTGGTCCCCCTCGCTGCTCCTGATACCCTTGGGGTGGCTGGCATGCTGACCCCATGTGCTGTGCTTCCTGTTGCCCCCCCCCCCCGAACCTTTCTGCCTGAGGTTTTGTTCTGAAATCAGATTCTCCCTGCTCACATGTCCCACACACCTGTGTTTCCAAATCAGAGCATCCTTAAGGGGGACGGCCTCTGCAGACCTTAAATCACATGGAAATAGGCATGTGCACGTGTGCTTTCCCCCTTGTGAGCTTGTGCCCCAGCATCTCTCGCACCAAGCGCTGCCTGTGGGTTAGATTGGACTAATGGGCTGGGATCCGTGGACTGGGGGCGAAGCCACACGCTGGAGGGACCACAGTATCTTGGTGAGGTCCCAAAGTCACTGCCGGTTCTGCGAAGGTTGCCGCTGTAAAGTGGTGGTGGGAACACCAGGCTGGAAATCCCAGCCTGAGCTCCTTGCCATCGGTGCCTTCCATGGGGCGCAGGGTGTCCTTTTCCCCAGAAGCGAAATAACAGGAAAGACATCAGACTTTAATATTTCAAAGTCAGTATTTATTTTTCTTGTTAACGTCTAACCTGGTTCCATTGCCGAGCAACGAAGAAAAGATATCAGAAACCAACAACAGGTCTGAAGTACAAAAGTCCAGGAACACCTCTTCCCCTTCTGACCGTGCCTTCCTGTTTTGGCAGTGTTTGCCCTGGTTCCTCCCAGCACTTTCTGCACTTTCCTCTGAGGAAGGAGGGAGGGAAGGAGCAGTGGCGGCGGGAGATCAGCACCTTGAGCAAAAATTCTCCACTTTGGCTTGGATGGAGGGGAGAAGTCCGTGTCGGTGCCCACGGCGTAACCGGAAGAAGACTGTCGCCAAACAGTTCAAGACTCCAGCATGGAAGCGGTGGCCTCATGGGGCGCACACGCCGGGCATTTGGTCCCCCACACAGCAAGCCCGGACCTGTTGGGGAGGTTGGCTTGGACTGGGGAGGGGCTACCAGTTTTCTTCTGGAAACTCTGATATTCAAGACACAGGGTGGCTCCAGCAGGCCGCGTGGAGTGGAGAAGTGACTTTCCCTTCCCAAAATCTCTGATGGAGCAAGTTTGGCCACAAGTCAGCGTTTGGGTTTCCCTGCGAAAGTGGGACTTGCATCACCCCAGTGGAAGTAAACGATTGGGAGAAATGCAGCGGTGGCTCCTAGTATAGGCAAACCAGCTTAAAGAAAAGCACAGTTCATTTCTGACCTGCGTTTACTGAGTGTTTACCTTCATCCAGCGTATGCCCACTTGATTAGGCAGAAGTCAGCCCAGCCCTGCTCCGTAGCTCCATTCATTTTAGTGGTGATCAGCGGAGCAGTGAGAAATCATCAGATATAATCAGAAAAGAAAGGCATTTTAAATGCATAGCCTTCTACTGAGTACTCATATTTTCATCTCACCCATAAGGAGTATCATCCAGGTAAAATGTGTTGCTTCCAAAGCACCCCAAAATCAATAGCCTTGAGTGAGAAAGTGCTGCTTGAATGGCCGTTCCTCATACATCAAGCAATAGGGCACGTGCCCTACTTCAAAGTGGCTACTCCTCTATTTGAAAACAGCCCAAGTTCATTTTAAAGAGCTCAAAGAAAGGAGAGACGTGACCTTTAGTTGCTCAGGTGCATTTAGCACCTGGATGGCAGCTAGAGCAGGGACACCGCGTGGTCTCCCCACTACAGTGAGATGCACCATACCTCAATTAAAAGTGTGACAGTTCCTTATGAACTTACACCCACAACATAGTGGCACATGTGTATTTTCTGCAAATTGGCCCCTCTTTTATTCTCTCTTGGGGGCAGAAGTTTTTGTTTTGCCTGTTTCTTTGTCGGTATGTTACGGCTCACCTTGCTAAACTGGGCAGCCGTGGCAGACTGCCGTGACATCCTCTCTCGCCTGCCAAAGCCACAGCAAACCGCCTGGAAGAAGTCTATGTTTCCCATTCCTGGGAAACTGGGATTAGCATTGGCACGACCTCGGGTGACCTTGGGGTGCAGCCGTTGCCAGGGTGTGGGGTCCTTCACTGTCCCCCTTCAGGCCAGAAGGAGAAGCAAGGTGTGCCACATTTTCAAAGACTTGCCCGATTAATAGACACCACAAACTGTCCCTTCAAGTGGAAAACCAGTGAGTCAGGACATGTGCCACATTCCCTCTTCCTTCCATGAAGGAAAGAGCTGTATGTGTTTAAAGGATTCCGCATTAACTGCCCTCGGAATTCAAGGCAGTGAACATAATCCACCAAAAATACTACAAATGCAACTGAGCACTAAAATATCAGGCAAAACAAAGAGAATAACAATGGCAGAGTGAAACATTTGAAAGGTCATATCCTCCTCCCGCCACCTCTACAAAATGGTTTGAACTTGGTACTGAAAGGAAAAGTGGTGCTAAGGGAAAATCTTGGCAGTGGAAGTTCCAGAACTTGGGCATCACCCCTAAGAAGTCCCTGTCTCTGATTAACACTCGGCTAATTGGTGGTGGTGGGCATGCAGGGCAAAATCAGTGACGATGGCACAAAAGAAGAGTTTGTAAGGGAGAAGGCGCTCCTCAGTCACTTGCTTCCAGAAAATCGGGGCTCTCCGTGTCAATTGAGGGGTGCTTCTGAATACCACCCGGGAGCTGAGCAGAAGGCCTTTCCATGTGCAGTCATACAGAGCAAAGCCACTCTCCAAATATAATGAAGTTTAGGGTCCCACAGTCTGAGGAGACAGAAAATGACAGCCCCTATTCTTATGGTGTGGGCATCGGAAGTTAAAAAAAAACCACTTTATTTGTATACCGTTGATGGTGATAGGATTTAAGGGTGTTTAACATGCAAAGTTGTACATGCCTGGATTCTTTTAAAAATTGGGGTTGGCTGAAGTTACATTGCCCCCCTGCAACGGCATCCCAGCATGTTGCCCCCTCTCCGCCATCTGCTCTCGCAAATCCTCTCCGTGCGGCATCCCAGGAGCGCTGGCACAAGGGACAAGCAGGACAACTTTCACCTTGACCAAGAGAGGAGGCAACCCCCCCCCCCAAATAAAGATGGGAGGGAGGAATGTGTATCCAGCCTGGCCAGTCCCCCAAGACCGGGATTGTCGCTGCAGGAAACTGATGCCGACCAGCTCCCGGGCACATTCTCGCAGCGCACCCGCAAACCACACACCCAACCTGTCCTGCTCGCTTTCCCCCAAGCAAGCCTTGCATATTTTCTCATGAAAGGACAGGAGTTCTCAGAGCGAACCTGGAGGCCTTTACTTCTTGCACCGGGATACGGATGATCACAGGCCTGAAAATGTAGTGGTCCGTGTTCATTTGTGCAGGGGGCACACCAGGGCTCAAACAGCGGGGCAAGGCAGGGCTGGGAGCCCTCTCCAGGCAGCTGTCTCTGTCCACCTCCGCTCAGACCACGCGGTGTTTGCTCAAGCTCCCTCTCTGGCTCGCTGATTCAAGGCAGCGAGGGTTGCGTGGACTTAGGCAGCGCCCCTGCACCTCAAGGCTTCGCGTGCTTCTAAAACAGCCCGTCGGGTGTCAAATCGGTTCCTTCGGACTGCCGGTCAAGGAACATGCGGCTGATTGCTGCTGCGAGCATTCCTATGTGACCAGCCTCGTTTTCTGTGGTCCTGGTGCCATTACGGGCAAAAGGATGCGACAGGGCCAGTCCTTCTGCTTAAGAACCCTACTTTGGCTAAGATCACAAATGCCTTTTGGTTACAAGCCGCACTGGCGTAAATGGATATGAGCACGTACAGGGCTGAAGCTCAATCTATATGGCAGGCCCTTAAAGGGCAGCGGACCATTGTGCTTATTCAACTGGATCGGTCCACGGGGCTGGAGAACTCGGCAAAGCGAAGCACCCTCCATTTAAAGCGGTGCTGAAGGACACCCGCCCCCCCCGCCCCCGCTTGGAGGCTCAGCCCGTTTGCAACACAAACACACAAACAGCCCTTGATGGGTAGTGAAGGGTGAAGCTGCAACAGTGAGCAAACCAGTCCGAAGAGCAGTGCGTCCGTTCTCTTCCGTGGAGCCCAAGAGTTCTTCATTCACTAGTTCTTCTCTCCTCGTGAGAAATGGATCAAAGGGTCATACCGGACATTGGCTCTGAGCATTCACTTCAGCGCTGGTTCTTCGCTCTGAGGATCATGGTTTTTAGCCCTTCTCCACCTGCAGTATCAGACCTCAGTTATAAAAATACTACCGTTTGCAAATAATGTCTGGTCCTCTCGTTACCAGAATGCGAATCCCTCAGCAGCCCCATTAAAAAGGCTTGTCCCACCAGGCAAAGAAGGCAGGACTTAACTATGCTCAAACTCTTTAGCAGTGCAGATTTTAGATGTCAGCATCTATTTACTTATCTTGAAAAGACAGCCGGTGAGAATTAAGAAATTGGGAGAAAAGCGCTGCTTGCAATAGGAGGGCCTCCGACATGCAGCACAGGCAGGCTGTTTCCCCAGTTCCTCATCTCCCAGTTTCTCCCTCCTCCTCTTTGCCTTTTGTCCGTGTCTGTGCTTGTGTCTGTGTGTGTGTGTGTAAAAGCAGAGAAGTGTTACCTTATTTTACATTCTAGTACACATAATAGCATTCAGTTCATAACTGTTATATTACAAGGACAACTGGGTCTTTCTGTTCCTCGGGTTCCCCTCCCCTCTTCCAGGGACCAGCAGCACGAGACGGCAAGGGCAGTCAGGATGTTGCCAGCCTTCCCATTAAAACCGTCATCACTGCTGGGGACAAGAAAAGGCATGTGGACCGGCTGTCTGTGCACAGGGGGTATTGCTTTGGAGAGAGAGACACAGACGACGTTTGCGAAGTGTAGATACCAAAGATGTCCCTGGGATGGAACCGCAGCGTGGAGTCGCGAGAGGTTTTCTTCCTTAATGGAGGTTGGTTCGTAGTACACAGAGCCCTCCTCGGACACGATTCTTCGGTGTCGGCTGCAGGCTTGAAAATGGCTCGCTCCAGCCCTGACTTGCTGAGGGAGGAACTTCCTTCCCGTGTCAGAAAAGCTCCGCAGCAAGGACGAGGGACGAGAGGCGGCGGCAGGCCTGGGAGCCCTGTGTGGGCTTGACGCCCCGTCGCTGCCGCTGCCGCCACCTGGAAGGACGGTGCCGGCGCTCCCTGGGACAGGGACGGGCAGCGGTCACACCTCGGTACTGAAGGCCCTCGGCTTCAGGCAGGCATCGTGCAAGACGCAGTGGTGGGTCACCGGGTAGCTCTGGAGGGCTGCCACTTTGATGGGGAGCCCCATCTCGGTGCAGCACATGGGGGTGTACGGGACCCTCCCGCCGCCATTCCGCACCAGCGTGTCAGCGGTCCGTATGTAAAAGGGGGAGCCATAGGGGGTGCAGGTGGGGCAGTAGTTCCGCAGCCCCTGCTTGTGGACCTCGGGGGGCGGGAAGGGGGGGTTGCCCTGCCCATCCATGATGTGGGAGTTGCAGGCATTGCACATGACGTAGTGGGAGTGTGGGGGAAGGTCAGCCTCCTCCTCCTCCTCCTCCTCCTCTTCCTCCTCCTCCTCTTCATCAGATTCATCTTTCTTACAGCAATAATACTAAAGCAAAAGGGAAGGAACTTGCATTAACACACAAACATTTATATATGGCTTTAATGGAACAAACACAATGTATTAATTAAAATAAAACATGGGCTGATAAAAACTTATGGATTGACCACATTGGTATCCCACCCTCTTCCTCCTGAATGCAAGCCCAGGCAGCTTGCACGGCCCTCATCCTGCTGCCTTCACAGCTCTCGTTGCTCCCAAGGAAGCTTCTCCCAAGTATCGACTTGGAGGAAGGGATGTTAGCAAACAACACGTGCCTGGTTTGTTTTGTTTTTTGGCGAACCTTTGTGTCTCAGGAAACATATTTTGCACCTCCCCAGTGCCGAGTATGAAGTGGAAACGATGACAATTAAAAACATTTTGATTCCAAGTTTGTAACACAGAAACAGGTGTGTGACTGCTCTGCAAGGCACTGTGGCCTACCTTATCAGGCTGTTGTGACAATTACCGGCAGAGTGATCTTAGGCATGCTTACTCCAAAATAGGTCTTAGTGTGTTCAGTGGGGGAGGCATGTGCGGGATTGAGACCTGGCGTAATGTATCTGAAATACCGCAGAGAGATGGGTGAAGACCTGTAGAAGCCGAGCTCCTTACCTGTAGCCTACAGTAGCATAGAACAGCTATGATGCACAGTAAAATCGCTGTTGCTAGGATTCCACCAGTGATTACAACAGTTCCTGCTGTCATCCGACCGATTCCCCATCAAATTCTACAAAAGCAGGAAAGGGGACGAGTGAAACTCAAGCACACTAGGAACAGCAGTTCCAAATCCCTGCATCCCCAGATGCTTCCCCTTCTCCGCTTCTTCCATTCTCCTCAATCATCTCTTTTAAGCAAGGCTCTTCAATTACATTTACACCAGATGGGATTTTAGCCGAGCTCCTCACTTAAGTGGTTTAGACAGTTGGATATGCACTGAAAGCTTTCGCTGATGAATCTGGGTGTATAGATGTTTTAGCAATGAAAAAAGCCTTAACCCATGAAATTGAGAACTGAGGATCTGTTTGCTTTCTCTGTAAAGCTTTATTGGTTCTTGTGTGTTACTGGAATGAGCTGAAAAGGAATGCGTGAAAGATGATCTGTCATTTAGACCACGAGCAAAGGCATTCGGAAGGATTATGTCTGTCAAATTTCTCAAAAAGGCACCTATGATGGAAAATTAGGCCAAAAGACTCAGTTCTGCTCAACTGGTAGGTCACTCCACTGATGGGTGAACTATGCAGATCCCTTATTCTGAACAAGGATAACCGAAAGCAGCAGCACACCTTCTGCCAACTCCTGATGGTCAACTCTGTCTGAGCATAGAAATACACATGTCCCATCTTAGCAGCATTCAATGTGCTATAAAACTGATTTTCAAACTGTTCTTCGTCGTGGCCTCTGTGCATCACACATATGGGTGCTGCGCCTGAGCAGTGCCTGTGGCTGGAAAGATTCAAAAGCTTAACGGTTTTGGCGGGAACCCCACTCCCCTCCCCCCCCATGGTATAAAAGGGCGGCGTGCCCGCCGTTTCCTCAGTCTTCTTGCAACTGCCGTTTGCTGGGCCTCAAGCCTTTTCGTCTCTCAGTTTATGCATGTTTATCCAGTTGCTATTATTTCTTTTAGTCGTTACTTTTCCAAGTTTTTCCCTCCCTGTTAGAAGTTTTTCTTCTCAATTTCTCCCTTTCCCTGTTTAAAAAAAAATACCCCCCCCCCCCCCCCCCCCACCTTGTTCGTCTTTCTCTTCACTTTGCTATCTTCTCTTTCTTCCTCGATGGCGCAGCGTGCGGCTTTCCGCAAGTGTTCTCAGTGCGGGTCCAAAATGTCACCCACTGACCCGCACGGCCTGTGCCTTCTCTGTCTGGGAGAAGGGCACAGAACTGATAAATGCGGCCATTGCCAGGCCTTTACGAAGCAGGTGAGGAAAAATCGGGAGAACCGCCTGCGCAAACTTTTGTGGGACCAAGCCCTACTCCAGTCGGACCAACTGGCGGGCAAATCTGCTCCTCCGTCCACTCTTCCACCACGCCTCCACCCCACCCGTCGGCTGATGGTGCCCCCTTGCCGGAGGGTCAACGCTCCTCTGTATCTCCGCATAAGCAGAAGGAGAAGAGGAAGCATAGTGGTTCAGACACGTCCTCAGGCCATAAGAAGCCTAAGAAGGACAAGGCGGACTAGTCGGCCCGCAAGCGTAAGAAGCCCGACCATTCCAGGCACCGTGACTCGTGTTCGTCCCCCCATCGATCCCGACGGCTGTCTCGGTACCGACACTGACTGGAGCGGCCCTCCAGCTGGCCATGCCAGTGACTCCGCCTGGGTCCCCAAGACGGGCTGCACCTTCCGTCCAGTCCTCTCCTGAACACCGGGACGTTCCCTTGTTGGGATCAATTTCTGATGGAGAGATTCGAGACTCTCCTCCAAAGGCTTGTTCACCGACTCCCCAACCATCACGCAAGCCTTCCCCGAGGGCTGCTTCTCAGCAGGTGTGATATCAACCTGTCCGGCCCTCGGATGGAAGTCCCAAATTAATTGTGCCATAAGTGGTCTTGGTCTCATCCGTCCTATAGATACGAGCCCTACTCACAATTTGCGGGCTGTCAGCAATTCCAGCCCCACCAACAGTGTCAGAAGCAACAACAACAACACTTCCAATAGAACTGGTGCCATCCCGACTCCGACAAGCGTCAGCGTTGACAGGATGAGTGAACCTCTCCTCTCCTCCTCAACCCACTTTCCCCTCTTCCTTTTGGGGATCGACTGTAAAGTCGACTCCCCATTTGGGAGTCCATCACATCTGATCAGTGGGTTTTATCCATCATACAGCACGGATACAGAATTGAGTTCGATACTGTGCCCCCACCGGGACCAATCCGATTTATGCCTCAGTCATCAGTTCTTGTTGACGAAGTTCAACAGCTCCTTCGTAAAGGAGCGATGCGACAGCTTGCATGCTCCGAGGGGCTCCACAGCTTCTACTCAAGATATTTCACGGTCCCTAAGCGTGATGGTGGTCTTCGTCCAATACTGGACTTACGTGGCATCAATAGGTTTATCAAAACCAAAAAGTTTCAGATGACCACCCTTCAAAATATTCTTCATTGCATAGGAGAGAGGATTGGTTCACTTCTCTGGACTTGAAAGATGCCTATTTTCACATTACCATTCACCCGTCCCACAGGCGTCTTCTTCGATTCACTGTCAGTTCCGACCTGTTTAAGTTTAACGTCCTACCGTTTGGACTGGCTACTGCCCCCCGGGTTTTTACGAAGTGCATGGCCCCGGTGTGTGCGCATCTTCGGCTCCAAGGCATTCAAGTGTACCCCTACCTGGATGACTGGCTGATCGTTTCCCAATCTAAGAAAGGTCTTCGGTCATCAATTCAAACTATTTGTGCTCTCTTGGACAATTTGGGACTATGCATAAATCAGGAGAAATTGTACCTTACTCCTTCACAGGTCATTGACTTCATTGGAGCCCGTCTCGATTCCACGCTAATGAGACCCTTCCTTCCACAAAATCAACAGGACAATCTGTGTTCATCGATCCGTCAAATCCACATGGACAGAGCTGTTCCAGCACTCTCAGTGCAGAAACTTCTCAGCCATATGGCCTCTACAGTATCCACAGTTCCCCACACCAGGCTACGGATGAGACCACTCCAGTTGTGGTTCAACAGACTGTTACAACCTCAACGAGACTCGCCTCACTGTCTTCTCCGCCTTCTGACCTCCGTTCTCCAGACTATCTTGGTGGACTACGTGGCACAGTCTGTCCGTGGGTGTCCCATTTTGTCCACTTCACCTGACCTTGACTCTGTTTACCGATGCCTCCCTTACCAGGTGGGGAGCTCTATGTGCCGGTCTCCATACACAGGGCACCTGAGACCATCAGGAGGCTATCAGACATATCAATTACCTCGAACTTCTGGAGGTCTTCAAAGTCCTTCGATCATTCAAGAACTCTCTTCGGTGACACGTTGTCCAGATTGCCTCCGCCAACATTGTTGTTGTATTCTATATAAACAAACAGGGCAGGACGAAGTCCGCCCCCTTGGTCCGCCTGGCGATGCAACTGTGGGACTGGTGCATCCCCAGGGAAATCACCCTCCTCGCGGTTCACCTGGCTGGTACCAACAACGAGGAGGCCGACGACCTCAGCAGGCAGATGTCGGCGACCCACGAATGGGAACTGGATTGTTTGATTTGCCATCGCCTCTTCCGGACTTGGGGCTCTCCGGACATAATTTGTTCGCCACTCACACGAACAAGGTGTGCGAGGCGTTCTGCTCTCGTGCCAGCATCGACCTGGGATTGACGGGGGACGCGCTCATGGTTCCTTGGACAAACACGTTCTTTTATGCATTTCCCCCGATCCCAAGGGTCCTAGCCAAGATCGCCTATGACAGTGCCACAGGGATCCTGATCACCACCTGGTGGCCCCATCAACCATGATTCCCTACTCTTCTCCACCTATCCGGCAGCACCTTTCTCCACCTGCCTCTCATACCTCATCTGATAACTCAGCAGTGCAGAGCTGTTCGCCACCTGGATCTTCCTTCACTCAACCTGACAGCTTGGCTCATTCAATGATCCATGGGGACCCTTTGGTACTGGCGGATCCTGGGACTCCTATACTTGCTCGACATGGTCCCGATACAGCCTCTCCTTCTCTGCTACTGATAGACTCCTCGTCGAACCTGAGCACTCTCCATCCCGATATCCAATTCATTCTTCAGTCTGCCCTAAGACCTGCAATTCGCCAGTCTTACGCGGCCAAATGGAAGCGTTTCACATCCTTTGCTGAATCCAATGATTTTGTCATTTCTTCGACCTCTGTTGAAAATGTCCTTCAATTTCTCTTAGCACTCCATCAATTGGGACTTAAGCCATCTTCCATTAAAGTTTATACAGCTGCAATCTCCCACTACCGTGGACAGGTGCAGGGTTCTTCAGTTTTTTCTCATACCCTCATACGTCGATTCCTCAAGGGTCAACAGAACCTTCAGCCACCACTCCGACCAGCTATTCCTACCTGGAGCCTCACAGTCGTCCTCCAGGCACTCACTCGAGTTCCTTTTGCGCCCTTGGCAACTACTGACTTACGTCTCCTGCCTTGGAAGACTGCTTTTCTCGTCGTGGTCACGTCTGCCAGAAGAGCTAGTGAACTCTGTGCACTTCGGATAGACCCTCCTTACCTTAACTTTCATACGGAGAAAGTCGTTCTCTGCACTGATCCAGCGTTCTTACCTAAAGTCGTGTCTCCCTTTCATATTAACCAGGACATTGTGTTACCTGCCTTTTTCCCTACGCCAGCGACATCAATAGAATGGTCATTGCATGCTCTCGATGTCCGTCACTGCCTTGCCTTTTACAGGTCTCGCACGGAATCCTTCCGTAAATCTAACAGCCTCTTTATTAAGTACTCGGACTATAATAAGGGCTCTCCCATCGGTTCGCAGAGACTTTCAAAGTGGATCGTGCAGACCATCGAGCTAGCGTATCAGCGCGCCAATCTTGACTTACCTGTCACGCCCAGCGGGCATTCCACAAAGGTGATAGCTGCTTCCTGGTAAGCTTGTTAATCACCCATGTGTGTGATGCACAGAGGCCACGACGAAGAAAAGCAGGTTGCTCACCTGTAGCTGTTGTTCTTCGAGTGGCCATCTGTGCATTCACACAACCCACCCGCCGGCCCTGCTTGGTGTTGG